GCTTCCTCGCTTTGATTGATCCTGGCTCTGTACATGAAGGAACTGCATTTCCCAAGCCTCCAAGAGGGCATGACTCCAAAAGGGGGCCCTGGTATAAAGGAGTGCCACCTCTGTCATAGCTCCCCCGCAACCTCCTTGTGCCCCCGCAACTTCCTTGTGCCCCCGGAACAGGTTCAAGGCCTGGGTCTGACTGGACTCAGGTGTGTCATTATTTTCCATCATCCAGCTTTGGCTTGGCCCACTCATTGTCTCCTCATCTCCCTCCAGACCTGTGTGTGTACAGCCTGTGTGTGTTTGATTCCAGGGGGCAGAAACCCCAATAGATCCTAGGCATAGAAGGGCAGATCTATCTCTGTGGAGAAGTGATAGGGCCATCTTCAAGAGAGGAGGGTGTGTGTGTGTGTGTGTAAAGTATAAAAACCAGCTGCCATTGGTTGAGTCATTTGCAACTCATTGCAACCCCACGTGTGTTAGAAGAGAACTGTGTTTCACAGGGTGTTCAATTGCTGATTTTTTAGAAATAGGTTTTTCTTCCCTGGTGACACTGGATGGATTTGACCTCCAGCTTTTTGGTTAACAGCTGACGACTTAACCATTTGCACCACTCAAGCTCCGTAGAGATTATAGAGATGGCTTTTGGTGAGAAGAAAGCACTTGTTTAGGTGATTAAAAGATCTTACCCCCTCCCCCAGGGGGCTAGAACCAGAGAATTCTCCCAGGGCCTGTGAGCAGTACCCATGGAGCAGGATTCAGCCTTGCTTCTTACATTGGCCCCTCAAGGGGTTGCCTGCCAGCCCCATGGGTTTACCCATGGCCATGACCTTCACCTGCAGGTGTCCTTACTCTTCTATGTCTGCTGCCCCTTCCTGTTCCTCACACCAGTCTCTTGTTCTTCTGGGCTGCCTTTGGAAGCATCTGCCACCTCCATGAACTTCTGCCTGCCCCTTGTCATTATCCTCAGGCTAGGGAAAGAAAGGGAAGGGAAGAGTATGACAATTGGGTCAACTCTGAAAATGTCTGCCTCTGTATCCCATTCCTTAGCATAATCCCCAAGCCCAGTCCCCACCCTTTATGCAGCCTAGAGAAGCTTATGCCTTATTTCACAGGCCAAGAGGGCTATGCCAAGGACCTAGAACTTTCCTCTGGCTTCCCTTTCAGTAGAGGAAGCCAAGGCTCGTAGGCCATATGGGGTCTGAAACACAACAGACTAGTAGCCCTGAGTGTGAATATCATGGTAACACACAGACTGTGTTACCTTGGACAAGTTACTCCACTCCTCTGAGCCTCACTTTCCAGTTCTACAAAATGAGGAATCTAATGCCCAGCTGAATAGTGGTTTTGCCACGTGTACCTAAGGAAGGAAGGGATCTAATCAAGTATGTGACACATAGTAGGAGCACAATGAGCTTTCATGTCTTCCAGCAAACTTCCCCCTAATATCCAAGAGAGAAGCTTGGAGAAGTAGCCTGCAGTAGGCAGGAGTTTGGCACTCTCAGTCCTCCAGATGCGGCATGAAGAGCCCATGCTTCCTGCTGCTAGTGCACTGACCCAGGGAGGACGAAGGGGTAGTCTCTTCCCTAAGGCTGGTAATTTGAGCTACAGATGAACCAAGGCTGCCCACCCACCACGTGAGTGGGGTTCTCCTTAACCAGCACCCAGAGGAATCACATCTTGGATTTAGTCTGTGCAACCACGAGGCCCATGAATCCTTCAAGGTATGAGATGGGGCTACTACATCTGTTAGATGGGGCTCCAGGCCTTTCCCTGCCCTTGATCGTTCAGACCCAGAAGAGGAGTGGACACACAAAAATGACTCATGTAGCCTGTGCTTTAGAGTGTTGCTGGATCAATGCCTAGCCTTGTGGGAGAGATGGGGAGGGATCCCCTGTGCAACAATAATCAAAGAGACTTCAGGGTCACAAAGTTGCCACCAACTTCGGACCAGCATGTGGAAGTCAGGGAGATCCGTGGAAAAGAGTGGAGTCTTTGTTCCAGGGGAGCCCTCCGAGAACACCTGAATTGGTACTTTTCTTCCTGATTCTTGGAGCCTGTGGTCTTGAGGAAGGGAGAAAGGTTCATCCATGGCCACCTAACTGGAGTTAGAGTCAGATATGGACCCAAGATTGGATGGATGGAGAGAGGGCAGTTCAAGAGGTAGACAGTGGGTGCAGAGCCAAGGGAGCAGCCAAGCAGCCTGGAGCTGCCCCATGGGGCAGAGTCAGACCTGACCAGTAAGGGGAAGTCTACAAGCCTGGCCTAGAAGCACAAGTGTTCAGCACCCTCTGGAGGCTGGGTATCTGGACACAAAGAAGCAGTACTGGGTTCATCATCAAATTCACCTTCCATCTGCCCTCCATTTGCCATATGGGAGACCCAAAGTGCCAGCCCTCAGCCCCATGACTGGAAGGGAGGGAACATTTGTGTATTGACCTCTGCTTTGCCCTGTCCAGTCTCCATTGGCCTGTCACCTCCATGGTCACCTCCATGGCCAGAGCTCCTCTGTGCCTTGGGAGAGGAAACAGCTTGACGCCCCACCCGCCTTTTGCACAGGCGTGGCCAGTAGAACTCTGGCCGTTAGGCCTGGTTGGTGGCTGTTTGCCCAGACTCTGTATCCAGTACCTCAGTTTCTCTATGTGAATTATGAAAGGAGATTGAATCAGCTGGTCACTCTCTGTCCTTTCTGCTCAAAGGTGGTGTGTTTCTTGAGTTGGGGCAGGGCAGGGGAGCAGATGGAGGACACTGGAGGTATCTACGTGGTGGTGCTGGGAACTCTGGCCTCCTTTCTCTGGGTCTGTGGAGCTTCCAGTGGGGCAGTTTCAATGCTCATGATGCGGTAGGTGTGGTCCCCAAGCCGCAGAGAGAGGGTTGCCTGCTCTGAGATCTCCAGTGGCCCAGGGATGTCTGAGGAGCTGTTTGTGGGCAGTGGGGCAGGGCCGCAAGAGATTCTTCAGTGTAATTAGTGCACTTTCTGGCATCTACTAAACTTCCCTTTCCTCTTGACAATTTGGTGCCAAAATATCTTATCCAGATAAAAGGGGGGAAATTTGGGGGGTGGGGGTGGGTGGAGGCAGGATTTGTTGTTTGTAAAATTGTATTCCCAGACAGAAGGGTGAGTCACGCACACCACTTGGAGCTTCAAGTTTCTTGTTTGACTGATCATTTCCCTGGCACACTGGGATGCTGCTGCCTTCTATCAGACCAACTTTCGTGGGGAAAGGGGCCTCCTGGTCTGGCAAGAGTTCTAGAAGAAAGATAAGCAAAGACTTTACTGGCTAGGAAGTTGAGGGGTTCCCATGTCCAGGTGGGTTGGACTGGCTGGATGCAGAAGAGCTCTCGACGCAGATTCTGGGTCTTCAAGCAGTCCCAGGTAGCTGTTTGGGTGGGTCTGAAAAGGACTTGCTAAACATTTCTCAGGTCAAGCAATGTAAATTTGGATATACTTACAGCATCTGTGAAACGGGGGCCATGACTCAGAAAGCTGTGGGAGTGAGAATCAACTACTGTAGTCCTAGTCACATTTCCAGTGAGCCCAGGACCTGCTCAGTATATGTGAGTGTAGAATCCAGTTTCCAGCCCACAAGGATCCCCATCACTGTCTCACAGCTACCAGTCCTGGAAGGCCTTTTACCTCTCAGGATGGATCATTCCATCTTGGGCTCAGCAGAGAGCTGGAGACAGAAAGCAGGTGTGTGTAGTCACTTCCGCTGGTCCTGGGTTTAATGCATCCCGGAATCTTAAAGAGGACTGGGCAGTGAGAGAGCAGAGGTGGCCATTAGGAACCTCTAATCACAGTAGGTTATCAGTGTGTTGGGCCTAGGCTGCCTATATGCAGTGTCTGTCTTTAATATCCCAGGACAAATATCCCCCTGTACACAGGAGGTAATAGGGGCACAGAACTGGAAAGGGCCGATTGAGTCATACAGCAGCATACATTCAACAGGATATTCAAGGGTCAGAGACAGCGATGGCACCTGGAGATGAGGGCTGTGTCATTGTCCAGCAGGGCAAGGCCAGGCGCAATATGAGGGCTGAATGGTGAGGCTAGGGATCCTCCCTGAGTACTAGGTTCTGTCCTGAGGGGGCATCTGATGCCCTGGGGTATGCCTGACTTACTCCCTCCCTCCCCTTCCCTCAAGGGGCCATCTAGGTTCCCATCTGCCCCATCTTTTTAAGGGAGCTCCTCCCTCTCAGGGGTCCTGAGACCCTGTCAACCTTGGGACTACCAGGAGAATGCCTTTCTGTTATCAGACCAAAGTTTTCCCAGGGTCCATGAAACAGTCCTGCATTTCTTGGACCCCTGGGTTGGGCCAGGGGGGGAGCTGCCTCTTTCTAGCCTTGGCCTTGGCCCCTGCCAGCCTCACTGCAGACTACACTTTCACTAAATTCCAGTGTGGCCAGCCCCTCTTGTTCAATGCAGACTGCATACACTAGAGGGGCCTGGGCCTGCCATGCTCTGAAGCCAGGCCAGACGTCTGCTTCCCATCATCTGGGGGTGAGAAGGGAGGGAGAGGTGGGTGACTTCCCTCTGCAGACTCCCAAAGAAGTGGCCTGGACTGAGACCCCCAGGCACAGGCCTCATAGGACAGGAAAGCCACTGAGCTGCCTAGGGACCAGAGGAGGGCTGGAATCAGATCCCATCCCCACCACCACCCTCGCCCCCTTTCCGGTAAAGTAGAAACAGTGCTGTAAGTGAAGTTCCTCTTCCTTACAAGATGGGGAAACTGAGTCAACCCAAAGCTTAGTGAGTTGCCTAAAATCACCAGTAAGTGGCACAGCCCTGATTCTAGCAGGTTACTTTCTGCTCTACCTTTCTATCCCTGGCAATGTGTGAAAGACAGAACTAATGATATTAATAATTGTTACCGTTGTCGTTGTTGTCATCTTCATGACCAGGCACAAGAAAACAGGCATTTCCCCTATGACCTTGTTACAGCCTTCCTACTGGTGGCTATTGAAGGCTCAGCATGATTTTGTGTGTGTCAGCGGGGGTGGGGGGTGGCATGGAAATGCTCAGGCTTCCAGAAACCTTACAGTCTCCGTCTCCCCAGGCACTGAGCAACAGTGTGTATAAGAGTGCCTCGCCCTACGGCTCTCTCAACAACATCGCTGATGGCCTCAACTCCCTCACTGAGCACTTCGCTGACCTGACCCTCACTTCTGAGGCCCGCAAGCCCAGCAAACGGCCCCCACCTAACTACCTGTGCCACCTCTGCTTCAACAAGGGACACTACATCAAAGACTGCCCCCAGGTAAGGCAGCCCAGCCAGGCATGGCTCTTGGATTCCCTGAGGACCTGCTTCTGGGGTGGGACAAGGTGGGTGGGGAGTGGGGCGGTCATGCTACTCCCTTCTCAGAGTTGTTCCTCAGTGAATAATCTGGCCATGGAATTCTGGGCCCCTTGCCCCCTTCTGACCCCTCTGTTCCAAGGCAAGATTGACTGGTGCAGACAGGACAGACACTCAGTCTAGACCCATGCTGTGGAGCAAGTAATTGGAGTGGGGATGGGTGGGGCTCTGAACCCCCAAATGAGGTTCTGTAACTCCAAGTCCCCAACAGTCTCCCGCAGGGGTGAATCCGGTTTCTACTTGTGGCCGGATGGTGAGGGGCCAGCAGCCTCCCAACTGCTCCCTCTCCTCACACTCACAGTGTAGGAATGCAGGCTTCAGGGCCAGGAATCCAGATGTGTTCCCCTCCCCCACACCCCACCTTCGCCTCCTCCTCAGCAGTTTGTGAAGAAGGAGGGGAGGATCCCCTAAACTCTCTGTTTCGTGCCCAGGGGAGGTCTGGGTGAGGGCTTCAGACACTGTGGACTGGGCTTCTCACCTGTGGGATGGGTAGGGGACAACCTGAGGCTTCCCTATACCAGGACAGCCTACAGGGGCAGCTCTTGCTTATGGGAGGAAACCCCCCTCCCCCCAACCCCTCCACCCCTACCACACACATACCAGCTCACTGGCAGAGATGGGTTTGGAATCTGGGAAGGAAGAATAACATTTGTTTCAATATGGTCATGAGGCTCTCCATGGTTTTCTTCCTATTACTTTTTCATTGCACTACTTTATTTTCAATATATAATAGAAATGGGATCCTGGAAAATCTGAGATCTATGTAGTAGTATTCTCCAACTATTGGAAGCTCAGGGTACACTCAGGTGGGTTTGGGGGTCTTCTAGGATTTGTGAGAGACCTAGTCATGGTTGTGACCTATGATATTACCATGAAGTAAGTGCCAAGGCATGCTGGAGGTCTCTGATACTTCATGGATGGCAGGTAGAATAGCATCAACAATTTTGGAAGCTTGCTAGAAATTCAGGTTCTCAGATCCCACCACAGAGCTGCATTTAGTGAGATCCCCAGGTCATTTGTGGGATCAGGGCCTTGCCTAACTGCTGTACAAGAGGCCCACCTGGGGCCTTGATGGTGGGAGCTGAATCCTTGATGGCTCTCCTCAAGATCCCATGCCCTTATTGGACTCTGTGTACCTTTCTATGTATGAAATAAGCAAAGGATCCTTGTTTGGGGAGATCTCAGCAGAGGGTTAGGGCCCTTCTCAGTGATTCTTCTAGTAGGGAAAGGGCCAACAGACAGCTAAGGATCTGGACATGACTCACTCACTTAATAGCTCCTGTTTCTTTCCAGCCAAGTCCCCCAGCACAGGGCATTCCGTGCATGTCCAAACAATCATTCACAACATATTAAAAACTACTACGTAGAACTGTGAAGTGTTCAGAGTGGGAATTAGACCCCATTTTAGGGGGAGCTATGAAGGTTGTGTTGGTTCCAGGTTACAATTCTTGCCTTCCATTCAGAAGACCTAGATTCAGTTCCAGATCTTTTGATGCACTTCATGGGGAGCCACTATCTGCCTGTCTAGGGGCTTGTGAATTCCTTGATGATAAACAGGTCTAAGAGCACCTTCTAGATTAAGACAGACTAGGAAGAGAAGCATTGCATTCGCTGTCAAAAAGGACATTTCAAGATCTATCTTGAAGTACAGTGCTGTTGGTGATAGGATTATATCTATCCAAATACAAAGAAATCTAATCACTACAGCTATTATTCAAATGTATGTACCAACCATGAAAGCTAGTGTTGAAGAAATTAAAGAATTCTCCCCTCAGGACCAATAATGGGAGTAGCAATACCAGGAGGGGAAAGTGGAGGGAGAAAGGGGAAACCAATCACAATGATCTACATATAACCCTCTCCCTGGGGGCGGGCAACAGAAAAGTGGGTGATGGGAGACATCCATCAGTGTAAGACATGAAAAAATAATAATTTATAAATTATCAAGGTTTCATGAGGGAAAGTGGGGCAGAGAGGGAAGGAAACGAGGAGCTGATACCAAGGGCTCAAGTAGAAAGAAAATGTTTTGAAAATGATGATGGCAACAAATGTACAAATGTGCTTGACACAATGGATGTATGTATGGGTTGTGGTAAAAGTTGTACGAGCCCCCAATAAAATGATTTAAAAAAATAAATAAATAAAACTGCCTTGTCAGTCGGGAAAAAAGAAAAAGAAAAAAGAAATGAAAGAATTCCACTAAATGTCTTTAGCCCAAAATTGATCAAACATGCAGTCAAGATGCATTGATGATTATGGCGATTGGGATGCAAAAGTTGGAAACAAGGAGGAAGGAATAATAGTTGGGAAATATAGTGTTGGTGATAGAAATTAAGCTGGAGATTACATGGTAGAATTTTGCAAGACCAATGGTTTTTTTTTTATCACAGATATCTTTTTTTTTTTAAAATCATTTTATTGGGGGTTGTACAATTCTTATCACAATCCATACATACACCCATTGTGTCAAGCACATATGTACATTTGTTACCATGGGATAAATCCATCTCCTTGAGGGCCTTCTTCTCTTTTGCTGCCCTTCTACTAGAACAGTATCATCAATATCACATACAGGTAACATTGTGCTGAAGATCATCCAACAATGGTTACAGCAGCACACTGACAGGGAGCTGCCAGAGGTTCAGGCAAGATTCAGAAGAGGATATGGAACAAGGGATTTGTCAGATGGATTTTGGCTCAAAGCAGAGAATACTAGAAAGATGTTTACTTGTGTTTTATTGACTATGTCAAGGTATTTGACTGTGTGGATCATAACAAACTATGGATAGACTTGAGAAGAATGGGAATTTCAGAACACTTCATTGTGCTCATTCAGAACTTGTATATGGATCAAGGGACAGTTATGGGAAGAGAACAAGGTAATACCACATGATTTAAAATCAGGAAGGGTGGGCATCAAGATTGTATCCTCTCACCATACTTATTCAAAGTGCCGAGCAAGTCTACAAAGACGCTGGATTATAGAAAGAGGAATCAAGATCAGAGGAAGGCTTATTCTCAGCCTGTGATATGCAGATGACACAACCTTGCTTGCTGAAAATGAGGAAGACTTGAAGCACTTGCTGATGAAGATCAAGGAGTGCAGCCTTCAGTGTGGATTAGAACTCAATTTAAAGAAGACTAAAATCCTCATATCTGGCTCAATAGGTAATATCGTGATAAACAGAGAAATAATTGAAGCTGTCAAAGATTTTGCCTTGCTTGTATCCAACCAATGCTCGTGGAAGCAGCAGTCAATAGATCAAGTGATGCATTGCATTGGGTAAATCTATTGCACAAGACCTTTTTGGAGTGATGAAAATTACAGAGTTTTTGCCTGGCCAATGCTTAGCACCATGCATGGTACTCAATAAGAACACAGAACACTTACTTTGAAGTCTAAGGTATGCCTAGCCCAAACCATTGCCTCATATGCTTGCGAAAGTTAGACATTGAATAAGAAAGACCAAAGAAGAATCCATGCATTTGAATTGTGGTGCTGGGGAAGAATAATGAAAGTACCATGGATTACCAAAGGGCAAGCAAATCTGTCTTGGAAGAAGTGTGACCAGAGTGCTCCTTAGAGGCAAGGATGGCAAGGACTTCATCTGACATACTTTGGGCATGTTGTCCAGAGGGACCATTCCCTGGAGAAGGACATCATGCTTGGTAAAGTAGAGGGGCAATGAAAAGGAGGAATGACGTCATGGAGACAGATTGACACAGTGACTACAACAATGGGTTCAAGCAAAGGAACGGTTATGAGGATGGTGCAGGACTAGGCAGTGTTTTGTTCTCTTGTGGATAAGGACACTATGGGTCTACACCAGCTTGGTGGCACCTAGCAACGTCAACCACAGGAAGAAAGGCCTGGTTATATACTTCTGAAAATCGGCATATGAAAAGCCTATGGACCACATATGTCTGATCCCATTGTTCATGGGGTCACCAGGAGTTAGAGTTAGGGTACAACTAGATGACAGCTAACAATAATAAGGGCAGGTTAAATAATAATACTTCTCAAGCATTACTTCATTAAATCCTCATAACTACCCTGCATGCCAAGTGTTCATATAGTCTCTTGTTACAAATGATGAGCTGGATACTTTGAGTAAGCCACTTGCCCAGGCTCATAGTGCTAGCCAGTGGAGGGGCTAGAATTGTAACTCAAGGAGGCAGGTGTCCCTCAGACACTAGCATGGGTGTGGGGCTCTGAAGATGTACCCTTAGGCTGGCAGTCTGGGAAAGCTGCTTCCAGGAGGAGGGCTGGTCAGAGAAAGTCAGCAGTTTCTCCTACAATGCAATAGTATTCTAAGGCAAAGATGTTGAGCCAGAGGCTGGGGATAGAGAATGGGTGATGTGTTTTTGAGTGAGTGAATGTGCATTGCCCTTTCTAGAAAAGGCTGGGCCTACACAAGTATGAGGGCACAGGGTCCCTGGCCTCAGTATGTAGGAAAGACTTACTCTGGTTCTTTCATTTGTCTTATCTCATGCAGGGAACTTAGCTTTATGATGGAAATAGAAGTACTCATCTATTTTGTAATCTAAGAAACAGTCTCAGAGAGGTGAAATACTAAAGAGTGAACAGAATTTGTTTGCCTCCATGAGAATCCATGCCATTCCAGGCTGAGACCACTGCCCCTCTGCCCGATGGGGAACTTCAGTTTCTTCCTAGAGCTGGGTGAGGCTCTCTCCTGGCTCCATCACAAAGTGACTCTTTCACTTATGCTTCCCTGCTTCCCACAAGAAGTCGTACGACAGAGACTCTGACGCCAGCTTCATTAGCTGTAAAGTGAGGCTAATGTGAGTACTACACACAGGATTGTGAGGTTCCTTGAGTTCTTGCCTGGCCAATGCTTAGCACCATGCATGGTACTCAATAAGAACACAGTAAATGCTAACAG